AGCAAACCTCTCCTGTCTTGCCTGCTTCTCCCCTCAGCAGTGTATTTCAGTTGATCTACCTGTTCTGATCCCTACTCTGTCTCTGGTGGATCCTCTTACCCCCTGCACCTCTGGTCTATACCTCGGTTCTTGTATGAATAAATAAATAAAAATAAATCTTCAAAAAAAAAAAAAAAGAAATGTCCTTCTACCACTATCCTCTGGGCCTTGCTTGTTCTTCTCATCGATGATCACTCAGATAAGGTTTCTGTTTTGAAGGCTCCTCCTTCTTTTTTTTAAGATTTATTTATTTATTTATATAAGAACCGGGGTATAGGCCAGATGTGCAGGAGGGTGAGAGGACTCACCAGAGACAGAGCGGGGAACAGAACAGGCAGACTGATGAAACACACTGCTGAGGGGAGCAGCAGGTGCGACAGGAGAGATCTGCAGCGCCATGTGGGACCCTCACTGGCTGGCCAGGATCGAAGCGGCACTGAAGAGGCTGTGGACAGCTTCACAGCATTGCGCTCAACCAACTGTGCCACCAGGGGAGGCCCTGCCCCTCCTTTTTGAACTCTTAGCATCTTGTGCAGGCCTCTTTCATGGCTCCCATTACTCAGGAGTGCCAAGGTGTGTACTGTAATTAGTTTTTCTTTTATGGTCTCTCTTGCTAGATTGTGAGTTCTCAAGAGCAATAATGGTGTCTTGTTTTCTTATTTTGGTGCTCTGATCACCACTTTTTATTCTATTTGATCATTTTATAACAGGGTGGTCCCCAGGAAAAGGGGAGGTTCCAGGTTTCCTGGCCCACCCAAGGAAGGTGGAGTTGAGCAAGAAGAGGCTGGAGAAGAGACTGGAAAAAGGAAGAAGAATGGAGAGCCAGAAGGAGACCTGGGGGAGGCACATGGAACAAAGAGACAAGTGAAAAAACTGCACTTGCTTTTTGGCCATGGACTGGTTGAAACAGATGTGGATGAGAGACCCATGGGGAGGTTAACAATGGCAGCTTTTTTTACAGGGTAGGGAGAGGAGCACCCCAGAACCCACAAACCTGCCTGCTCTAAATAGGTTCTGCCATCCGCTGCATCAAGACAAAACATGTAAGACCTTTAATGGAAAGGAACTTTAATACAATTAGTGTGCAATACAGAAAAGACAAAGAATATAGTTTCTAAATCAAGCACCCAAGGTTACCCACCCCCTGCTGGGTAAAAGTCCACCCAAACAGGATTGGCCCAGAACAAGGCCCAAAAGCCTGCCACAAATCTATTTTTTTTAAAGATTTATTTATTTATTTTATACAAGAACAGGGGTACAGGCCAGATGCGTAGGAGGGTGAGAAGATTCACCAGAGACAGAGCCAGGAACAGAACAGGCAGACTGACGAAATACACTGCTGAGGGGAGCAGCGGGTGAGACAGGAGAGGTCTGCCGTGCCATGTGGGACCCTCAGTGGCCTGCCAGGATCAAACCGGTGCTGCAGAGGCTGTGGACAGCTTCACAGGTGCAACACTCAACCGCCTGCGCCACCAGGGGAGGCCCTACCACAAATCTAAAGTACCTCCCAGTGGGGACCCCTAGAAAAGGGTCAAAAACAGCCAGACAAGTCTGGGAGGAAAAGAGCAAAATTAAAATTAAAATAAAAGGTGTCATTGTTAACATCTCCACAGGTCTCTCACTGATACCTGTTTCAACCAGTTCAGGACCAAAAACCAAGTGCAGCTTCTTTACATGTCTCTCTGCTCCATGTATTTCCTTCAGGTCTCCTCATTGCTCTCCATCCTTCCTTCCTTTTTCAATCTCCTCTCCAGCTTCTCCTCCCTGCTCAACTGCACCCTCCTTTGGGTGGGGCAGGAAACCTGGAACCATCCCTTTTTCCTGGGCACCACCCCATTACACTTTGATTTTGCTCTCTTCCTTCCAGACTTGTCTGGCTATTTCTGACTCTTTTCTATGGGTCCCCACCGGAAAGTGCTTTAGACATGTGGCAGGTTTTCAGGCCAGTGAACCTGCTTTGGGCCAACCCTGTTTGACAGTAACTTTGGATGCTGGATTTGGAAATTACATCATCTTTTCTTTGTCGCACACTAGTTGTATTAAAGTTCCTTTCCATTAAAGGTATTCTATGCTTTGTCTTGATGTGGTGAATGGCAAGTCTCCCTATTTAGAGCATGCAGATTTGGAGGTTCTGGGGTGCCCCTCTCCCTGCCCTGTAACACTTTCTCAATATTTAACATTTTTTTGAATAGGTAACACATTCATCTGTAAAAATTCAGAAGTTACAGAAAGGAATGTAGTGAAAAGTCCAGCAATTCCCAATAATCCTTACATAGTCCCTAAGTATTTTTTAGAGGGTTGTGTTTGTTGCTTTTATAAACCACCAGACTTCCACAAGTTAAACTTTACTGCCTTTTAATTATGTATCCCTGTTGCTTCTGGATTCATTGCTTATCAACTGTATAACTACTTTATACCTATTTTTTTTTAAAGACTTATTTATTTATTTACACAAGCGCAGGAGGGTGAAAGAATTCACCAGAGCCGGAGCGGGGAACAGAACAGGCAGACTGACGAAACACACTGCTGAGGGAAGCAGCGGGCACAGCAGGAGAGGTCTGTTTCGCCATGTGGGACCCTCGCCAGAGGCTGGGTATCGAACCTGTGCTGCAGAGGCTGCGGGCAGCTTTGCAGCCCAGCGCTCAACTGCTGCGCCACTGGGGAGGCCCTACTCTATACCTATTTATTCATCTGTAAAATAGGCATTACAGTGTTGTAAGGATTAAATGAGATTATCAAGTACTTAGAACAGTGTTTAACATAAAAATGTTGAGAAAGTCCTTGATGGTCTTTCATGCTTCTTTCTACTCATCTTTCTGGGAATGCCAAGAATGCAAGGTCTTGTTGTTTACCAGGGTCATTTCTCAGGGTTGTGCTTATAGTGAGCAACTCTGAAGGATGAAGCAATGTCTCCCTCCAAGACAAAGAACAGGTTTGATTACTGATTCCTTAAAATGGTAGGTTCTCTAAGATCAATGTTCCTCAGCAGTGATGTAAATCCACTAAGTGCACAGCATTCATCTGAGCCCATCATGTCACCCCCCTCCCCCCCAGGAGGCTTAGGGGGCAAAAGGTGTTGACACAGGCATGCTGAAGCTCATCTTGTTTCCGAGGTTGGAACAGTCCTTTGTCCCTGAGTCAGGAATCTTGTGTCTTCTATCAGGATCCATGAACAATAACAAACCACCAGATTTGAGTAGTAAGTATTGTGGGCAGATCAGGGTGAGGCCGGAGGGTCAGTGAAAGAATTCACCAGAGATCGTGTGGAGAACAGAAAAGGGATATTTATTGAAGTACATTGCTAAGAGAAGCAGTGGGCGAGAGAGGAGAGGTCTGTGCACAAACAAGGACTTGGGCTTGTTTTATTACCTGTTTCTCAGGCTTGTCATGACTGGGGAATGGGTTTGGGCAGTTAGTGCTGGGATGTCTGGTCTTGGGTGTTGACCTTTGACATAGAATGTGTCCTGGCTCTGCTTAGGCATTCACCTGTCAAGTGATCAGTTTTAGGACCTGATTCCCTTAGCGACCTTATCAATTCCCTCTATTAAAGCTTCCCAACTCTTCCTGTTGGGCAAGGTTTAGGGGCTTAGATGTTAAGGGTATTAAATGATACCCGGACAAAAGTGCTTATAAGGAAACTAAGTTAAAATCAGGCTATTTTTCCACCTTCCACACAACGGACAGCCCATACCTTGAAACGCTGTGTTTTCCACCATTCGGACATCTAGTAAACAACAGATGGGCCTTGTGTTTGCAACAATGTATTGACCGTGTGGCTATGGCACTTAAGAGTAAAGGGGCTAGGCAGGGGAGTTGCTGACCTGCCTCTCTCAGTGTGGGAGTCACTCTTGCTGTTTGTCTGTGATCCTATCTCAAACATGAGAGCACTGCAAAATGCACCGGAGGCTGCAAATTCTGTAAGAGAACTGACAATGATCCTACCTCGCCTGGGATGCTTGTTCGACGGTCCTTTAAATAAACCATTTTCATTGTTTTTGCTCCTGCTCTTGTGTTTGCCGGATATTCACCATATCTGTTAAGTTTGTGTTTGGGTGGGTATCCAAAAACATTAAATTGCTGCCATTCGCCAAGACTTCTATGCCACTGGCGGAAACAAAGTAAATTTGAAAGAAAGGTAACTTCAAAATCATTGCTGAATTGAAATGATCACTTAGTCACTTTAATAGCCACTGAGACCTTAGTTTCCTCTATATGCTTTTGGTATACCTACGGCGCAATTTTTAGGTAGTTGCAATTAAAAGAAGTTGTGCAAAAATAACCGGGCCTTAGTTCCTGTTACTTAAGAACCTTAAGCAACAGCCTTAAGATGACTTTGGGCATTCTGAGGTGGTTTCCCATATGAGAAACAGAGAAAGGAACTCACGCTCCAGGGCTCACGAGGTTGCGGCCATGTGATAATATAACTATGCAAACATACAAAGTACTGAACAAATGAATTTTTACAATTTAAGCTGCCGAATCACAAATGTTAGTGTGTCCTAACGTTTAGGACAGTGATAGTGTGTCCATAGACTATCAAAAGGAAAAAAAAAAAACAAAACCCTCGCCGACGTCAACAGCTCAATCACACAGGCACATGCTGGGTTAGTATTTCCAGAGATGAAATGCCTCAGCGCAACACACGACAAACTACAACTCCCAGCAGGCTTTGCTCCCAATCGCGTCGCATCACCTCAGCTCCGGCCTGGCTCTAGCCCCTCCCCGCCCCCACCACCTAGAAACTACATCTCCCAAGAGGCTCCACGGTGCCCAACCGTTCGCTCTCTCTCCGCCCCCTGCCACCCCTTCTACCACCGCCGGCCGCTCCTCGGCCGACTGGAGTCCGCGGGCGGCGGAGCGGGCGCGCGCCGGGGGTCGCGCGGCTGCTGGCAGGGCGCGCGCGCGCGAGGGGAGGGAGTGGAGGCGTAGGGGGGCGGGGGGACGGCTCGCTAGCTCGCAAGATGGCGGACGAGGACGGGGAAGGGATTCACCCCTCAGCCCCTCACAGGAACGGCGGCGGCGGCGGCGGCGGCGGCGGCGGCGGCGGCGGGGGGTCTGGGCTCCACTGCGCCGGGAACGGCGGTGGAGGCGGCGGCGGCCCGCGGGTCGTGCGCATCGTCAAGTCCGAGTCCGGCTACGGCTTCAACGTGCGGGGCCAAGTGAGCGAGGGCGGGCAACTGCGGAGCATCAACGGGGAGCTGTACGCGCCGCTGCAGCATGTGAGCGCCGTGCTGCCGGGGGGGCGGCCGACCGGGCCGGGGTGCGCAAGGGGGACCGCATTCTGGAGGTGTGAGTATCCGGGCTGACCGCCGCCCCTCCCGCCTGTCCCCGCATCGCCCCTCGCCCCTGTCACCCTCAGGCCGCGCCTCTCCTCAGCCGCCCCGCCGACCCCCGCTTCCCTCAGGCCCCGCACCCCCTGGGGGGGGCCGTCCCTCCCCGGGCGTCTGCTGCCCCCACTTCCCTCCCTCAGGTCCCCACTTGGGGTCCCTGCCCCCATTCCCGTGGCTGCCTCGCTGCCCCCCGCCTCCCCCTGTGGCGCGCTGCTGGCCGCGCCTCGCTGCCTGCCCGGCTCTGCGCGTGCTGACCCCGCCTGCTCCCCGCTGACAGCGCCTCCCTTTCGGACCCAACCCCTGTCCCCTGTCGTGTCCTCCCCAAGTTCTCGTCCTTAGCATCCTAGTTTCTCGTTCGCCACCACTGCCCGCGGCTCCCGTGGACCGTCCCTTCTGCCCTCTAGACCAAGTAGGCAGGACCTCTCTGCTACTCTCCACTTTGCCTCCCGGCGCATCACTCCTCCACGCGCGCTCTTCCCCCAGTTGCCTTCTCCGTGTGCTTAAGCTTCATTAAGCACCCCGTGTGTTTTTCTGTCCTATTGTGTCTCCCTCCCCTCCTTGCTCAAGCTCTGGGTGTCCCTCCTTTATGGACCCTTAGGTGCTTTTTCTGTGGGGAGGTGGGTGTCTTGGGCACTGCAGGTACTCTTCTCTGGCATCCCCTGTTACACCGTGGTTCTGAGTCCAGTGTCTCCAGCTCTACATTGCTCTGAGTGCATCCCTGTTCTGCCCCCCCCCCCCCCCCCCTGTTTTCACTCCTGCACGGTCCTCCTACTTCTTGTCAGGTTCATGGTAGAGTTGTTAACCTCCTACTTCCCCCCAATTCACAGTCTCCCCATCGGGTCTTTGTCCCCTCTTTTTCAGGGTATACTGGTTCCATTCTCCTGCTCTGTCCTCTTGTGATCCCACCCTTGACTTTATCCACTCCTGTCCTCTAGATTGCTCCCCTTCCTTGTCTGCCTAGGCTCCTGCTGCTGCAACCCATCCTCTTTCCCTGCTGCAGTCCCTCCCCCTACCTACTCCTTCCTTCTCACCTCCCCACTTCATCCCCTAACGCTCTGACAGGATGCTGCCTTGTCTTGCAATTTCTGTGCAGACCTCCTCCCCTGCTCTAACCCAAGTGTTAACATTTGTGTTTTTATACTTTGTATTAAGATTTGTATAGTGATTGCTGGTTGCCTGGTGGGGGATATATGGTCACTTAATCTCCATTCTTAGCAGCGTTCAATCCTGTGTCTCTCTCTTTACCGAGTCTATCTTGTATGTCTGTTTTTCACGCTTTTGCCCTTTCCCTTAGTGTTTGGATTTGCCCTCATGAACTCTGTTTTTGAAATAAATGATATTTTAATTCTTCAGTCTTCTCTACTAAAAGAGTTTTAGCCAGGGTCTGTCAAATGGGATAGTATCTTGAAATATCTGGGTTGTAGAGGTGTGGATCCCTCTTTATTCATCTTAGGTCCCCTGCCCTTATTCTTGATAGTCTTATTCTATGGTGTCCACTGTTTCCTCTTCCCTTCCACCTGAAGGAGGAGTATCTCACCAAAGCAAGTGATTGAAAATTGTATACCTTTCCTCTGTCCTTTCTGTAAATAGATGCTCCCTCCTCCCCCATTAATATCCTGTATAGTCTTTTCTAGTATGCTTTGGCTATATATACCTGATCTTTTGGGGAGCAGGGTATTCAGATAATAGTGACCTTTTGCTTTTCACCTGGTCACCTAATTGTGTTCTTTTTAGATAACACAGTCTGTGACTGGTGTACCCTTCTAATAGATGCTCCTGCGATTGGTTGTCTTTATCTTTAGAAGTTAACTTTGGATTCAGCTCTTGGCTTACTTTTAAATTTAGTAAAACTAATATATTTACTTAGAATTATAAATTCATTGTGAAATTCCCAATTATTTACTCTTTACAGGAGCTAAAGCAACTAAACTGAGACAAATAATTCTGCAGATAGTTACAGCTAATGTGATCTACCATTGCAAATATAGATACACATGTATATATCTTGACTAATATAGCTGCTGACTTCTTGCTTCTATTGTGGTTTTTATAGTAGTACTGAGACATAAACTTAGTACTGTAAAGGAGAAAGAAGGCCTCGGAAGATCACCTAGGGCAGGTAGAAGGACTTAAGAGGCCCAGGATTCCAATCTAGGCCCATTCCTCCTAAAAAAAAAATAAAAATAAAAAGACATTACATTTTGGCACATCCTTAGTGGTAAATAGAGAGCTTTGTATCTTTTAGTGGGGAGGGCAAAAACACACTCTTTGCTTGGAGAACCTTTCTCTGAAAAGTTGTGATGATCAGACATCTTGGCATTGGTTTGTCACTTTACAGCTGCATTTTGATTTTCCCATCTTTGAAGTGTCTCTGCCACTATAGTGGAAATAGTGATAGTTGCAATGCAGAACTGTGCTAGTTGATAAATCCCTTGAGACCTCATCTGTGCAGTTTCTTTTTCTTTTCCTTCTTCCAAAGTCTGTATCTTCTTAGATTTTCAAGTTGGAGGGGGATATCAGCATCCAAATAGACAGGAGACTTGAGGGATACTTGTGTCTGCTACTTATTTTGATTTTAGGTAGTTGTTAATTTTCTTAAAGCATTCTCTAGGCAACACTACATAGAGGCTCCCCCCACCCCCAATTCTTTAAGTTATGCTCTTTCTTGTCCCAGGAAACCTTTGCATGTTAATGAAGTGCTAAATGGGATCAGGATTAGGCACAGGTAGATTACTAATGTATAGAGTTTGTATCAAGTCAGAGGTGGATATTTAGACCTTGAAAATTGCTATTTAACCTACACGTCTTATTTTAGATTCTTTCATCCTCTACGAAATTATGTTATCCCAATTTTTATATAGTACAGCTCTTTATACGACTGATAAAGGTGTGAAAGAACAGAGTAACTTTGAAATTAAGGGAATACAAATTTGGACCAAAGTAAGAACATCAATTTCTTTGTGTTTGTGGTTTTATTTTTTTTTTTTGGTAGTCTGCTTACCAAGGCACAGTCCTCACTGAATCTTGGAATAGTAGTTAAACAAAATCAGTGTGGTTCAGTTTGTCCTTTCTCCCTTCAAGTAGACTAGTTTCTAACTGGTTTGGGAAAGAGATGTTTCAGATCTTTGTACTACAGTATGAACAAGCCCTCTGGGCTCTGACTTCTACTGCAGATGGAAGGTTTTCTCGACAAGCAACCGTAATCTCTACCTTATAATTTTTCCCAGAGTGACACATTTTGAGTGTCTATCTTTTGATGTGTATACACCTGAAGGCTAACGAGAGATGGATGTTTTCAACAAATAGGACCAAAATAAATATGTCTTTGCATTAATTATATAATATGTGAAGTAACATTTGACTTGTTAGTTTTCTTAAGGTTAAAGTAGTTCCAAGGACTCTTGATTGATTTCTTGAGAGATGCCATTAGAGGGGTTTAAATGTGCAGTGGCTGTGGAGATGGTACCATCTCTATGTTTTTGAGAGACTAGATTTGTTCTTTGTCTAATTTGTTTTGTCTCTTTGTTGTTTGGAGAGTGTGGTCTTTATTTAAGAATGAACCCCTAAGTTTGGCTTGTAAGCACTCAAGATCATAATACATTTGTGCTAGACAGAGCGTTTGTGTTTTTCCTCGATGGCCACCTGGTATACCCATCAACTTTCCCTTGTTAGAATTAAACTATATGAAAAATTAATATCTGATGTCTTATAGTCAAGAAGACTGATACTTATCAGTTGAAAGTTTAATTTTAGTAACCTAGGAATACGTGGTGGGCATTCTTCTTTGTTTCATTATATGTGAAAGATGGATGCCATAAGAAGTATTTTTACAAGTTGAATGTCATGTAACATTGACTAAGTATCTTTTTAAAGAGTTGCTTTCTCAATTTTAGCTGAATTCTACTTGGCTCAGATTTTTTAGGTAGATTTGGGAAATGGTGTTTTTGATGAAAGGAAATTTTTGTGTAGTGATTCTCAAACTTTAGTGACCATAAGATTCATCAGGTGTGCTCATCAAAAGTATAGATTCTCAGACTCACCCTTTGAGGAGTATGATTTAGTAAATCTTACTCGGGACCTAGGAATTGTAATTTTTTACTCCCTTGCTCTGTGTGGGTCATGCAGCCCACATACTAACTTGTATCTGGAGCAGCACTGAAAATTATAGGCCTTGGGTTCTTAGTTCATTTGAGAGTCATAAATTAAGAATTATAATGACAAATTGTGATTTTTGTTAGGCTTCTGAGCTCCAGCCCTTTGGAAAATCAGTTTAGTAGCAAGGTATTGAGTCTTGCTAAGCTGTTGTAATAAAGATGAATGGTTAAGAGGTAGAACAAGTTAATAGTAATAATAATTGTTGTTCAGCTTTGCAGTGTGTACAGTGTGTTACGGTTTGCACAGGGTTTTTACATTTGATCTTCACAACAACCTGGAAAGGAGGGAAAGTACAAGTTCCTTGAGGGCAGGGGGACTGTATACATTGTTTTCCTAGTCTAGTGACACCTAGAAATGTGATTCAGTAAATACTCACTGATTGAATGTATGTATGCATGTTATCCTTATTTTATAAATAAGAGAGGATACTGAGTGTTGTACTAAGGAATGTTAACCAGACTTACACCCACATCCCTGGATTCTAAATCCAGTATATCTTCCATTTATTTTCTCAGTTGCACTTTACTTTTAGTAGACAACTGTTATTATTGTGAATAGTCTCTTAAAAAATCTTAAAATTCAGTTACCTCTCTGTGAACTTGAATGGCAGTTGAGCTTTGGTTCTGTTGTTATGAAATATAACTGTCTTACATCTTTACCATACTCTGATTGTTGAATTGGCTAGGAGGCAGGAGATCAAAACACTCATTCTTTGCCCTTATTGTTGATGTTTTTCTCAATTGGTTATCAGTGAAGAGAGCATGCCAATCACACTTTTAACCCAAAGAAGTAGTTTAAATTCCA